TATTTTTTTTTTTCATTTTCTAACTAACTGAAATACATAACAAATACATACACATAACGGAATACATAATAATCTCTACTACTTTAAATCTTATCCTTATACCAATATCTTTAATATAATAGCTATACAAAAATCTCTTGAAAAATAAAATCTGAAATCGAAAATTAAGAAAAAATAGAGAAAATAAAGAAGGAAAAAATTGAAATAAAAAATAACAATATACAGGACACAAACAAAAATAAAATAAATATCCGAAGTGGTGAAAAACAAAAAAAAAAAAAAGGTATTAAGAAATAAAGAAAATTGAGAGAAAAATTGAATTTTGCCAATAAAATTTTCATCAATTTTACAATGGCATTTAAAATCTTTTGTTTATACAGTACATCCCTTAATAATAACTTGGGATTCTTATATTTTCCCATTATTACCGACCGTATTGTGTAAACAATAGGTAGGTTATGTGATGGCAACAAATTTTGCATATCGAGTTTTCGGTGGGAACGTACTTCTCCATAGTAGGGAAGTGTAAATAAACTATTTTTAGCAACCTGTCGGTCTGTCGGTCTGTCGGTCTGTCGGTCTGTCGGTCTGTCGGTCTGTCGGTCTGTCCGTCTGTCGGTCTGTGTGTGCACGCGTGTATCTCAAGTTCGGCTGAACCGATTTTGATGAAATTTTATATGTAAGTTTATTTCCGCCATGGCACGGATCGATCAACTTTTGGTATATATCAGGCCTCGGGAACTGCACTTTTTAGCGGGCCTGTTTCACATTTTTGAGCATATTGAAGAACATATTCAACCGATTTACTTGAAATTTCATATATAAGTTTTGCTCTACCGGCGATGAAACCTCCTAACTTTTGGAAGAAATCAGGCGTCAGCAACTGGACGTTTACTACGGGCCAAATATACATTTTTGTGTATATAAAGAGAAATAATTAACCGATTTCATTGAAATTTAATATGTGAATTCCTCGTATGAAAACTATGAACATATAAATTTTTTGGAAAGATCAGGGCTCGAAAACTGATTTGCGGGCCGATTTTACATTTTTCACCATATCTACGGAACGAATTGATGGAATTTCTTGAAATTTGATATTTGAGTTCTGGTTATTACCGAAACTAACTGACGAGCATTTCAGGGAGTTCGGGTAGCACAAAGCGAAATTCTACTAAGAGCCAAATTTACATTTTTCTAGGTATGTTAACTATAGGCTTACTAATGTCCTAAAAATTGGAAAGAAGTATTTAACAGACATTTTTATAATATTCTGTAACACTTTCACTTAATTAGACAATACACATTGCGGTCGGTTATGTGCTGACCACATCAGATTTTTTTATTATAAGGAACTATATAGCGAATCAAGTTATTAATAATACTTGGTCCTATTTTCATAAATTATTAAATAAATTTTTTAGCGAATCGTATAAAATAAAATTTCGCTAAATTTAAATTAATTAATCTAGAATTTTCTTAAACTAGTTTTGTTAAACTAGAATGTTTCTTTGTTTTTTTAATCTAGAATGTTTCTTTGACTTATTAAAACAATTTCTTTTCAAAAATATTCAATATTTAAAAATTCTTAATTAAGTTCCCATTAATTCCAGGAAGATATCAAATTTTTTTAAGAAGCAAATAAGGGTGCAACTAGAATAAATGAAAAAACATAATTATAATTTTTAAATTTGCCATTTTTTTTGGACTAATACAGAAAGAGTAAATTTTTTTTAATTTAATTATATTTTTTATAATTCATGCGAAGTCAATTAAGTTTTCCTCTTGTTATGCCGAATATGCTAAAATCTAGTACCGGTGCTATAAACTATGCTATATTCTAGTATATATCGATTGCTACTAAAAAATTTAAAAGTAAAGATTTTCCAAATTTTTTTTTCATATTGAGTAGCGTTGTAGCAGGAGATTCTTTCCTAACGTTTTAAAGGTATAGCAAATAAAAATTATAATTTCTCTTTAAACACCTCTAAAAAATTGAAATTTCAAAGTACTCACTAAATCTACGATTTTTATTGTGTTACTTTGTTGTGCAACATAATAAGTATACATCATAAGTTCCTTTAAAACATACATTATAGGTTCGTGTAACATTAGGAAGTTTCGGAAACATTTTTATGTTTATAATAGTTTTTATTAAAACTAAAGTGTTTTTATTTTAAAGAAAAATTTTTTATATTGTGTTAAAGTATGATATGGGCTGCCGGTTTTTACATAAATACAAGGGTATAATTATATTAGTCAAAAATAACCTTTTTAAATAAAGGCATTAATAGTTCTACTTTTTTTGTGATTTTCACATTAGTTTCCTATTGATATAAAATAAAACTAAATAGACAGTTTAACAATAAGAATGATTATATTAATACAAAATAAGAAAAAAACAAAGTATAAAAATGGCAAAACAACAACCATTAAAATGAAAAAAAAAACCAAATCAAGGATATTATGTCCTTTGTTCATTTTCAATTCATCCTTTGTCGTAATATCACCTCACCGTTTGCCTTTTTTTATGGGTAAAACTATCGAAGAAATCAGAAAAGCATCGGAATTGCAGGAAGAGAATAAAAACAAGGATAAACACAATAACATTTCCAGAAAACCTTTAAAAATTTTTTTTTTCTAAAATATTCGAATGAAATTAGTTTAAAAAACAAGACGATTTTTTGATTTCTTTTGGAAACATAACCAATTTTTTTAATATTTTGAAACAATTTCATATGGAATTTTTGCTTTTAAGGTTTTCCGAACTTACTATATAAAATGTTCTAGTTTAAAAATAAGTTTTCTTATTCTAGTAATATTGTAGAAACATACCTCAGTTTCTATATTTTCGACACATATCCAAGTCCACTAAATGATTCAAGTCAATTTTTTCAAATTGATTTTTTTTCCATTCCAAAATGACTTACAATTTTTCATCAATGTGATAGCATCAAATTTTCAATGTCAAGTTATCGACGCAAATAAACAACGGATTTTTTTGAAATTTTATATATAAACTCAATATCATAATACGACGTACTATTTTCTTAAACCCTTACTACAAAATATAATATGAGCAAACTAATATGGATTTTTTAATATAGTTTAGAGAATGTACATTGCGGTTATGTCCTTAATATATCAGATTTTTTAAGTATGATCCTCGAACCCATCCTCGAAATTAATTTGTTGCAAATTTTACTTGCGAATTTAAATGAAGTTAAGGTCGTCGGTTCCAAAATAACAGGAACACTTTATAAATATTCATTAAATTTCTCAAGGTCATATATAATTACAATTTGCAATTAATTGAAATTTCAGAACAATTTCCCTGAATTATTGTTGAATAAAACTATGAACATTTTTTTGATAATAATTGCAATATACAAAGAAATTTCTTTATGCAAACTGCAGAACAGATGCGTTATGTTCTTGTAATATTCTCTTAATGATCAATCTATGCCAGAAAACAGACAATTTTTTTAAAGTTTTAGGAAAGTAACGAAATTTAAATTTAATATATTTAATATTATAAATCCATTATAAATTTTGTAATAAAATAAAATGGATTTATTAAAATATTCAATATAATTTTTCAAACTTTTGTCTGAAAAAAAAAAAAATTATTGTAAATAAATACTTCCCTATTTTATTATAAGTATACCAAAAGAAAATAATGTTGTCTACAGCACAATGGTTACGATAGCATGAAAAGTATTTCATTTTACTTTTAAAACAAAGTAAATCTTTTAAATTTTTAAAAATTTTAGATAGAAAATCACAGTTTATCCGGTATACTGAAAGGATTTTAATGTTTCAACATCCTTTTACGTTTTAAATTTCTTTTTTCGTTTTAGCTTATCTTGTTTGTGTTAAGGTTAAGTTTTTATATAAGAAATATTTTTCTTTTCTTTTTCGATTCTTTTAAACTAATTCAATAGTTTTAAAGAGTAAAATATAAAGAAAAATAAGATTAAAAAAGAAACACCCTAAAATTGAAAACTAAATTGAATTTAAAGGAAAATAGTAGACGCATTTCGAAAAATAAAATAAAAGAAAAACAAAAAAGAAATAGTCAAGTTTATTTCAAGGTAAAGGATTAGTTCACTTAAAATGTTTATTTTGATACAAATAATCTTTATCCGATGGTCATTTTATAAGTGCGCTGTTATATAAAAAAAATATTTTCAACTATTATAACATTTCGAATTCCTTAAACGTTATTGTATTAAAATCCATGCATATAGAAAAAAAATATGACCGTAAAGAAACTTTAGAATAATCACAAAAAGAAGAAGAAAATTCAAAAATAAGGTCATGCTATATGAAGGCCTATATTGCACGTAAAATCCCAAATAAAACCCAAGACAAGGAAAAAAAATAAAAAAAAAAAAATTCAATTGAGGTGAAAATGGAAAGAAAGTAAATAAAGCATAAAAAATTAGAAGGATACAATTTTATTGAATTTTCCAAAAAATCAAAATAATATTTAAGATCCTTACAGGATATCTGCTGCTAGTCTTAAGATATTTAAAGGTGAAAGAATAAATAAAAAATTTAAAGAGATTTTTTTTGTATAAAAGCAAACAATGATACATACAATTTTGTTTTTTTGTATCTTTTTTAAAGGACCTTTATGGAAATTACATTTTCCCTTATTTCATTTATAAATTTCATACATTCATCTTTTACTATCGTGTTCACCTTCCTCAATTCAAAGTTATTTTGATTACAATTTTTTTTTTTTGTTTTTTGTAAATGAAAACTTTGTTACGATGTTAAAAGAAATTGTTTAATACAAAGAAAATGTCATAATGTTTCATGTGATAGTATTTAAATGAACGGTATAATAAAATTGTTCCTTAGTTTTTGAACGACTCTTGAGATTGAGTGTAATAAAATTTTTGGAAGATTCAAAAGTATTTTTTTAATTACGTATTCAATTCACAAGAGTTAAAAACTGGATTTTTTTTGGTTTTGATTATTTGATTTAAAATCTAGATTGTTACAGCTAAGTCTATAAATTTTGTTTGTTAGAAATAACATTATTGTGGATAAAGTGCGTTGAAATTAATTATTTAAAATGTAAATCATAAGTTGACCATAAATTTTAGTAATGAGGATGTGTCGTTACGCTATTGAAGAACTGATATACCAACTGATCTCACCCTCAAATTTTTAACCTTATTAGTTTTTAATTTCATAATAACTTACAGAAGAAAAATCTAATACAATAATTTGATCACAAAAAACATAATTTCTAATTAAATTCCAATGAATTTTCAACCAGATTAACAGTTCGAAATTAAATGTTATCGTTAAATATAAATTATAAGGAGTAAATAAAGAGGCAATTTCATAGAAAATTTCGCTTAAAATTGAGAAAAAGTTTTTTTCAGATTTCTACATGTTTTAATGGCATAGTTTTCTAAATAAAACCAAAAAAATTCTACAATATGCAAAACAATTGTAACAAATTTGTTGGGAACGCTGAAATTAGAACATAACTTGGGAGTTTTTTCAAAATATGTAACAGATTTGCAAAGCTAATTTTGCCTAACTTAAGTTTACAGGTTTTAAATTCATTTTTGCAGCAAATTTTATATAAAATTTAAATGCGAAAACTTTAGAGACTGGTTTTTCGGTCACGTGCTAAGTTGGCTTCGGAAATTTCGCCTAATTTTTATTGAAATTATGTGGTAACTATTAAATAAGAATCTAATATCACATCTATTATAGGTATACGAAAAATGGAACTTTTTTTTCATATTTAACCTTTGAAATTTCTTTATTTATTTCACAATATTTTATTCAAATATGGTAGAGGGTATCCTATATGTAATTGGTCAAATATACCAGGGATGGCAAATAGGGTTTGATCAAAGTGCCAAAATTTGGGGAAATTTATTGTCACACTTTTTCCCGTGCCAGCACAGTACCAAGTACAGGTATGGTTAGGTAAATACAATATTATGACAAGTTGTAATAATATTTATTTATACATATTATAGTTCAAGGTATAAAAATTAATAAATACAGATAGAAAAAATATTAATTTAATTTTTTATCAGAAACTTTTTGTTTCATATTACTTGCAAGAGTTTTTATGTCGGGCTGGTACATTGTTGACTGCAGAGTAATACATGCTGCCGAATCTTCCTCTGTTAATCTGTTTCTAGTCTTTGAATGTACATGATTCAAAACGGAAAAAGACTTTCGCAAGAGTAAGTGGAAGAGAAAATCGTTAACAACGAGATTGCTAATTTTTTGACAGAATAAAAGGTATCTGGCATACTATTCCAAGCTTCTAAAATTTTACTTTCCATGAAACATTCTGATTCCACATTTTGGGATCGATGGGTTTCTAAATCTTCAACAAGCTTCCGCATATTCACAAATTTATTTACCCAAATTAGATTGGATTGCAGATCAACAATTTGCATTTCTAAATTATCTAATCGCATCCAATTAAGGAGGTTATTGTCACAATCTTGCATATCAAATAAATCTGGGTAATTAATTTTTCAACGAGTTTTTAGATTTTTCATTAGAAAAAAAATCTATATAAAAATTTGTCGAGGCACAACTATAACGTGCCATCAAATTTTTTTTCCGTGCCAAGTTTGGCACGCGTGCCCTTTAATTGCCATCCATGAAATATACAACTATAGTTATTACTTTTCTGCTATCTTAGTACTTTTATCTTAAATTGGTTTGTAAAAAAGATTTTTTTTTTTTTGTATTCCAATCATAAAATCAAGTCAAACAAAATCGCTTTTTTTTTTCTTAATATATTGAGAAAGGTTAACCAGGCGGTAGGTGTCAAGTTTTATAAATTATTATATATATACCTATATATAAATATATGTGTATCTATATAAATATATATGCAAATTTAAATAACAATGTGTACAATATAATAAAGGATATGTAAGGATGTTCTGAAATTTATAAAATATTTTTATGATAAACACATTTTTGGATTTATTGTAGAAGACGATTTTTCTTTTTCCACTTTTTCATTTACAAAATATTCTCAGGAATTTTATGTCTATCTTTATTATTTGTATACATATATATATACATAGATATAATTATATTACATAGTATTATATAAAAAACCATCAGTAATCTGTATTATTGTAATAAAAATGAAAATAACGACAGGTAGGTATAGGTGTAAAATAATAAAATATAATGAAGGATGTCTTGTCTGTTATTTAAGTTTACGAAATTCTTGTATTTATATTATGTATAAGAGGATGTACCATCAATTCAATTATTATGGAATGGAAAATTTAAGAAAAAAAAGTTTTACTTTTTGTATTTACTAAATAATAAGAAAAATCAAATATATTGTACTTTTTTATATGAAATCACCTATATACATATTTTATATATGTATGTATATATATATATTTATTTACAGAATTCAAAATATAAGTACAGGATAAAAAATAGGAAAAAACACGAAAATTTAATTTATTTTTGTCCCCTATCCTTAAATTTTCTTTTTGATCAATTTTCTTTATCCTTTGATAAATTTTGTTTACTATGTCATTTTTATTTTATTAAAAATATTACCTATTATTATTTTTATTTCAATTACTTTGAATAAAAATTTTATGCCGAGATATTTTGACATTTAATTTTTAGATGTTTTTATGTTTTGTCTTCAAATCTTTTTTTTTTATGTTATTAAAGGACCTTTAGATTATATCGCATTTTCAAAAGAAATAAAATTTATTTAAGATTATGATTTTTTTCTAAGTTATAAATAATTTTAGAAAATGACAGTGTTAGAATTGGTAATAATAAAAAATTTTAATTTTAAATGTCAGAATAAATTAATATGTATGTGTGTGTGTATTACAATACATTTATGTATTGATATAGATAATGGTATTTTTTCTTATTTTTGCGCTGCTATTAAACTTTTCACTTGAATTTTTAATTTCATCATTTGATATTGTAATTGAAATGGAATTAAATTTAAATTATAAAAAACTAATTCAGTAAAAGAAGTTAGTAAAAGTTCTTGAAGAAATACTGAACCACCATATAAATATTACATTAAATAGCTAGATCCTTTCAAGAATAATCGAAAACGAAAGCAAACTATCTATAAGAGAAAAAACTACTTGAGTTTCTAAAGATAACAATCGTTTTGGAAAGCCCTTTCCTAGCAGTGTGTTTTATTACTGTGTTCAAAATAATGTTTAATTGAATAAAAACTAAACACTATATACGTACGGTTCCGACTAACATTATTTAGAAAAGTCTAATTGAAAATTTTTACTAGATATGCCATTGAATTTAGTCACAGCATACAAAACAATTTCATTTATTTTCCTGAATTTGATCTTTCCCTCGTTGTCGGCATATTCATAACTTCTTTTTCTTTAACATCTAAATAGTTGTCTTTGTTTCATTGAAAATGAGGCACCAATTCTATTTTGAATCAAAACCGCAATAAAATTTTGATAGTATAACCAATTTTGTCGCCAGACTTTGCTTGATTTACTAAAGCACTATTTAAATGATAAACTAACATAAGATTAATAATCTAATCTTAATATATATTGCCAAACCAATTATTATAATGGAAAACGCGTTTTCAAAAAAAAAGAGACAAAAATAACCAAAACTAAAAAATTTAATTTTTTTAAATTTCTTTTAAGATACAAAAGAACTTGAGACAAACCATAAATCTTTCAATTTTCTTTACACTTTAATGGAAAATTCTTGATTTTTAATAAAATCAAAAAAAAAAATCCTAAATCCAAATTTATTTAGTAGCGTATAAGAAGCATACAAACATATTATATGAGGATTTTTTAATATAGTCGTATTTATTTTAAGGATATTAACATATTACTCATTTACATACATATATATATGTATTATATATAGAGAGAGACACGTTATATAAAATTAATTTAATTGCGTTCGGGACATAAGACTCCCGCTTTCATTTCTTTCTTTTTTTTCAACAATGAAAAAATTTATTACTAAAAATTAATCTTCTGGTCAATTTATCTATTTTTTGTGTTGGTTTTTTTTTATTTTTTTGTTATTATTGTTTTTTAGGGTTCCTTTTCGAGGAAAAATGGACAAAACATAAAAAAAAAAGTGAAAATTCCTTTGTCTCTTTCTGCGTCATTTCAACTTTAACATTAGATACTCATTTTTTTTTTTGTTTTGTTTTTTTTATGATATTTTTTTTAAAATATTCGAGACTTTTTCCTTTTTTATTTTCGTTTTTCTTTAACATGTTTTAATGTCTGTTCAAAATGGTTTTTCTTTTATACATAAAATATTTTTTTTTTTTTTTTACCCCGTTCGTTTCAAGTTGAGTAAAAATGATAATAACTGTTTTCATTGTCAAACAATTTTTCGAATGAAATGGCGAAAAGCGATAATAAATAAATCTTGTTATCCTATCATCAGTACTTTTATTATATACACATATACATAAAATCGTACGATATACAATATATATGAAGTTTGTCCTTTTTAACAACAATTTGAAACTTGTCTAAAATAAAGGAATAAGCAATGCTGCAAGAAAATTTAAGAGAAAAAGAAATGAATGTTTTTTTTTTTCTTTTTTCTAATATAACCCTAAAGTAAATGGGCCATGAATAATTTCTTATATTATATTACAGATTGTAAAGACAGTATAATATGTTCCTTTCTTACTTTTTTTTTAATTCTTGAAATTAAATTCATCAGGGGCAACACTATTGTGATAAAAATATATTCTTTGAAAAGTTTTGATAAAATGAATAACAAAATTTGATTTATTAAATATGGTTGAAGCTTAGCTAAGAAAACTTGATCAAATCTGCTACATTCCATTCAATTAATAAAAGCTATCAGTATCTACTTTTTTAAATTTTATGCTTTTGAATGGAAATCTAACTATTTCAAATTATGCCCTAATCTCTGAAAAGAAAAAGTTGTGACACAATTCATATGTTACAGTGGCTTCTCCCAGTTTTCAATTTTCTTCCAATTCATATGTTATGGCTCCAATCTTCTTCATAAACTTCAAAGTTTTATCAAAACAAAAAAAGAATTTTCAAGTAGGCTATTCAAATTTTCTAATATGCTTTTAAGTATTTTTGTTGATAATTTACGTGGTTGCTCTAAATTAATTTTTCTTTTACTAAATTACAAGGAAACTTTGGATAAATACACAAGAGGTCCACATATAATTGAAAAGCATCATTTGATGAAAATTTTTGATAATTTAAAATAATTATAATTCAACAAATCCCATTAAATTTTAAAGACTAAAACTAAATCTAAGACTAAAATTAAATTTAAAATTAAAGCAGATTGAATTTTAAGCTGAATAAATTTTAAAGTCAATAGAAATATTATTTTAGTAACCAAATTCATATTTGTAGACGCCACTGGAAAACAGAGGGATGATTTTAGCTTAGAGAAAAATTAAGAAAAAATAAGAAAAATCAGAAAAGAATTTTAATTTTCTTTTTCCAATATAAGATTTTATTACAATATTTTCTCGTAGGTTTACACGTTGTTTGTTTGTTTTTTTTTTGTTGTTTTTCTTTTCGTTGGTTATTTGTGAATAAAGTAATAAAATTTTTCAGAACATAAAATTAATGAAATTAATTAATAAAAGAAAATAATAAATTAATTAATTTAAAGAAATAATAATAATGATAACAATAATAAAAAAAAAAGAAAAAACAAAAAAAAAACAAAAGAGCAAAAAAAAACAGAAAAATAAAAAGTTTTTCTTTTGCTGTTCTTTTCTTCTTTTGGTTTTTTTGGTTAATAAAAATTTTCATTAAATTTTCTTTAGTTTGTTTTTCCTTGAAAATTTTTCCTTTAGGCTTTTACAAGTAGAAAATCTTTTCGGTTGTGGTTTCACTTTTTATGTCAGCTTTAGGAGAATTTTTTAAAAATTCTACTTTTTTTAAGTGAATTGGATTGTTAAAACGATAACAAACGCACATACATATATGCACACACATAAAAATCACATATGTTGTACTGTAGATAATATTTTTTTCAAACAAAAACAAAAAAAAAAAATAAATAATCAAAATTTTTTTTTCACTTTAAAAAATTTAAGAAATTCTTAAAATTTATGGAAATTTCTTATGATTTTTTTTGTTTACTTTTTGCTTTTGTTTTTTCTTTAACAACATATTATAAAAATTTTATTAATATATAAATTGTATAAGAGACATTATGACTCCATGTTAATAAAAAGTACTCCAAGGATACAAGAGAAAAATAATAACAAAAACCAAAAAAAATAGAACGCAGCATAACAATAAAAATAACATTCAAAGGTACAAAAATATATCGGCAGTTTCGGTCTAGTTTCGAATAAAAGCCATTCTATCAATTTTTGCAGTTACATCTTAAATTAGTTCCTGCATAGCTTTGCGTCATGTCTTCAATAATTAATTTTGAATAATTTTTGAATAATGATGTTTCTATCATTTTACAAGTCAAGTAACTCTT